AGGGGGAGGGAGGGGGAAGAAAGGAAGAAGAGAGGGAAGCAAAGCAAAGGGAAGGGAAGTGAAAGGGGAAAGCCCAGAACTGAGGTTTTTAAATGAGTAGGTCTGGATGCCCCCCAAAATTGAGATCTGGTGGGAGGTCTCACTTGTCACTTACTTGCAGTGTAGACAAGCCAAAAGGTGTAATCGTTAGGGGAAAAGAGGGAGGTGGCAGGGGAAGAAGTAGGATCCCAGTTGCCCTGCCTGGAGTTGGCTTTGGTTGACACCTGCCCACTTGCCAAAAGACACTAGCCTCAATGGCCCTGATAGGGCTGGGTGGGGGGTGGTGCAGTCTCCACAGAAGCTTCCAGTCAATGCCATTCATGCTCACCCTAAAAGCTGGTCTTCCCTTTGGGACTCTGGTCCCCAGTGTGGAGCGTGGATTCCTGAGGGCAAGGTGGCAGGACTCCTTTAGGATGTGGGCCGACCTCCTGGGGAGCAGAGGAAGATGTGGTGCCCGTAATAAGATGAGACTCTGTTCCCTGGCCTCCCCAGAGCCGATGCACCTGCAAGCTGGGTTTTGCTGGAGATGGCTATGAGTGTAGCCCCATCGACCCCTGCCGGGTTGGCAATGGTGGCTGCCATAGCCTGGTAAGAGGGTGCAAGGGTGCTGAGCCCCTGGGGAGGGTCTCCAGGGAGGGCATGCTGCAACTTTCTCTGGATATCTCCGTGTCTTGTTAGCACTGGTGTCTTTCTAAGCCATGTTACTGCTCCTTCAATCAATCATAGGATAAAGCCTTTTGCTTCCTCATTAAGGCCATGGGCCTTACAGGAGCCAGCCCCAACTCTTGCCTAGCCTCTCCCTCTGTTTCACCTCATCCCAATTCCTTGTTTCTCTGGCCCCTCTAAGCTCCTTGCTGCCCCTTGACCTCTTTCTGTCCCCACACCATAGCATCTCTGCCTCCCCCAGCCTCTGCCTCCTCCTCTTCCTCTTCTTCTTCTTCCTTCTCCTCATCCTCCTCCTCCTCCTCCTCCTCTTCCTCCTCCTCCTTCTTTTAATCTTTCTGAGACAGGGTCTCCTCCCTTGTAACCCCAGTTGTCCTGGAACTCACTATGTAGACCAGGCTGGCCTTGAACTCACAGAGATCCACCTGTCTCTGCTTCCCAAGTGTTGGGACTTAAGGCATATGCCATCATGCTCAGCTCCTCTGCCTTCTTTCAAAAGCCCAGACTCCTGTGGGTCAGGGCCACCTTGGTGCTAAATTAGCCCTGGCTCCCCTAACTGCTTATCACGATTGAGTGGGATGATTCTTATGTCAAATGTTCTATGATCTTGGGGACCAAGGCTGGGTCCATTGAAAGGGTTCTGATGGCGGGAGAGGGAGGTGGGGGATAGGTGGCTGCACAGGCAGGGTGCGGGGGATGGATGACAAGGGGGAAGAGAAAGATGGAGGACAGACAGCTGGTGTCCAGCTTGCCATTTGGGTGTTCAATGGAGGACAATGTTTCTGTGTCTCTCTGTTCCCTACCCTCACCAGGCTACCTGCCAGACAGTTGGGGGAGGTCAGCGGGTCTGCAAATGTCCCCCTCATTTTGGGGGTGATGGTTTCAGTTGCTATGGAGACATCATCAGGGTAAGTGGTGTGCTCTCTTCCCTGTGCCTGTGTTGGAGCCCTCCTATGTACCTGTGGGCAGGCAGGTGCTTGGGGCCTTGAATTTGTCCTTAGGGCTCAGACCTCAACTGTTTCTTGCCCCTTAGGAACTGGAGGCGAATGCCCACTTCTCTGCCTTCTTCCAGTGGTTCAAGGTAGGACAGGGTAGAATGCTAGAGTTGGGGCTCAAATCTATGAGGTCTTCCTGGACACAGGGACGCCACTAGCATCTTCAAGAGCCACCCTCATCACCCCCATTCACTGTGTGCAGAGTGCTGGCATCACTCTTCCTGCCGACAGCCGAGTTACAACCCTGGTACCCTCTGAATCTGCCATCCGTAGGCTGAGCCCCAAGGATCAGGCCTTCTGGTTGCAGCCAAAGATGCTCCCAAACCTGGTCAGGTGGGATATCCTGGGGGTAGTCTGGGTGGGACCTGGACCCTTCCCACATGGAGTAAGGAGAATCAGGATCTGTTTGCTTTGTGTTCACCAAAGTGGGAAAGCCCAGGTTCCAGGGTCTTTGTAGGTCACACTAACCTCCCAATTGTACCCCTCAGGGCCCATTTTCTCCAAGGTGCCTTCTCAGAGGAGGAGCTGGCCAGGCTAAGCGGGCAGGAAGTAGCCACACTGAACCCCACCACACGTTGGGAGATTCACAACATCAGTGGGGTATGAAGTGAACTCTACGCGTGTGTGGGAGCTGGAGTGGTCTCACAGACCCCTCTAGACCTAGGCTCCTAGGGAATAAGATTGGAGTCCCTTGACGCTGCCCAGAGCTGGTTTAGAGGTTGTGCCTAGAACACATGGGTGGTGGTAGTGTGTTATTGGGCTAGCAATTGTCTTCCTAAGGGCTGTATATGCCTGAACACACACACACACACACACACACACACACACACACACACACACACACACACACATCCCTCTCATGTGGTGAGGGTGATGTGATGTGGTGCTGATGAAGATGCATGCATTCACCTGGTGGAGCCTGAGGCTGTGGGCCAGGTGGGGCATCTCTCACATACATCAATACCCACTTGAGCTGAGCTCTGTTTGCTGCTTTCCAGAGAGTCTGGGTGCAGAACGCCAGTGTGGATATAGGTGACCTCCTTGCTACCAATGGTGTCCTACACATCCTCAGTCAGGTGTGTCAGGAGGAGGGGATGCAGGGAACCACCTAGGCCAGCCAAGAGCAGTGACAAACTAACAGCTCCTCCTGCTCCATGTTAGGTCTTGCTGCCTGCACAAGGGGATGTCCAGGCTGGGCTGGGGTTGCTGCAGCAACTAGATGGGGTGCCCTCATTCCGCCTCTTCCGGGAACTGCTGCAGGTAAGGGAAGCTCATGCAAGAGTGTGCCTTCCCTGGGGGTCTGCAGGAGGCTGACTGGCTCCCTGCATCGGAGCTGAGGACTGACATGCTCATCCCTATACCTTGCCCTCTGTCCCCCATTCCTAGTATCACAAATTGGTAACCCAGATTGAGGCTGCAAAGGCCTATACCATCTTCGTGCCCACAAATCACTCTCTGGAGGTTCATGGAAACAGCAGCAGCCTGGTAAGGCTATGGGGATGGGGTAAGCCTCCCAGGCGAAGGCAAAGGAACATGGTGGGAATGGCATGATACCCATGGCACTCGGCAGTCCTGGAAACTCTGAGCTCACCCCTTCCTGGCAGGACATTGACACAGTGCGACATCACATGATCCTTGGGGAGGCACTCTCAGTGGAGGACCTGCGGAAAGGGGGACACCGCAATTCCCTCCTGGGCCCCGCCCACTGGCTGGTCTTCTACAATCACAGTGGCCAGGTTAGAGGGGCAGGGAGCAGGAGACCCTTCCTCAGTGACTCTGCTCTTAAGACTTCCATTTGAAGCTTCCCCATCTAGGAGACTTCCAGCCTCTGCTCCAAGGAGATCCCTCCCTATTCTCGTAGCTACCCCTGGCCCTGGAGTGTTTCCTGGTCTTGTTGCCTTCCAGAGTAAGGGTGGTAGCGGGTGGGAGAATTCAGCTTGCTGTCCTTCCTAGCCTGAAGTGAACCATGTGCCACTGGAGGGCCCGTTGCTGGAGGCCCCTGGATGCTCTCTGTTTGGCCTATCAGGGATCCTGACAGTGGGCTCCAGTCGCTGCCTGCACAGTCATGCAGAGGCCCTTCGGGTAAGAAGGGGGACACCTGGGTATTAAGAATAGCAAGTGAAGCCGGGCGTGGTGGTGCATGCCTTTAATCCCAGCACTCAGGAGGCAGAGGCAGGCAGATCTCTGTGAGTTCGAGGCCAGCCTGGTCTACATAGTGAGTTCCAGGACAGCTGGGGGGCTACAGGGAGACCCTGTCTCAAAAAGAAAGACAAAAAAAAAAAAAAGAATAGCAAGTACTGGGGCTGGAGAGATGGCTTAGCAGTTAAGAACACTGATTGGTCTTGCAGAAGACCTGGGTTTGAATCCCAGCACCCATATGGCAGCTAACAGTTGTCCGTAACTCCAGTCCCAGAGGATCCGACAGCCTCTTCTGTCCTCCAAGGCATTGCACAACACAGGTGCACTTACCTACATGCAGGCAATACATGCAT